CCCCATACTCTTTCTGGTTCCGTCTCCAAAAAAAGAAGAGGTAGCGAAAGTTTTCAAATTTTCATTCTGGTGAGAGGCCAGCAATCAACACTATGGGTACATTAAAATCAAGGTACCAATAGTGGAAGTTATTTGGACGCAAGAGGGTTCAATTAACATCTACAAATCAATGCATGACATTGATACAGCCATATGAAAATGATGATGCAGTGAAAAGCAAGGTTTGGATAAAGCATGATCCATTCATGAGAGATGAAAACCTCAACAAATTAGGTTAGAGTGAAACGTAGACAACGGGCAACATGACAATAAAGGCCTTTATATAAAAACCACACAGACAAGAAGTCATACTCTCTGGCAGAAAAAAACTGAGAACTTTTCCCTCTCTAAAATCAGGCATAAGATGAGGATGCGCTGTCACCTCCCCACTTTTCTTTATTCAACATAGGTTGTTATTGGAAATTCTGTACAAAAGCACCGACAAGGAAAAAGGAACAAAAGGTATCCAACCAAGTTTAGGAAGAAAACTTTCACCTTATTTGTATTTAGAGACATACATACTGTATATATATAGAAATCAAGACTCCACCACCCAGGAAGGCTGAAGTGATGATAAATAAATTGCAAGGTTGCAGAATAAAAAAGTCAATATTGTGACAGAAATCCATTGTCAGGATACTTTCTACATACTAATAACAAAGTAGCAGAAAGAGGAATTAAGAAAACAGTCCCATTTACAATTGCACCAAAAATAATAAAATATCTAGGATTCAACTTAACCAAGGAGGTGAAAGCTACAAACCATTGATGAAAGAAATTGAAGACAACATAAACAGAAAGATATTCCATGCTCATGGACTGGAAAAACAAATATTGTTAAAATGTCTATACCACCCAAAGCAACCTACAGATTTAATGCAATCCTTATCAAAATACCAACAGCATTTTTCACAGAACTAGAACAATCTAAAATTTGTATAGAATCACAAAAGACCCCAAATAGCCAAAGCAATCTTGTAAAGAAAAACAAAGTGAGGAGTGTCACAATCCCAGATTTCAAGATATAGTACAAAGCTATAGTAATCAAAACAGCATGGTACTGACACAAAAACAGACACACAGATCAGTGAAACAAGATAGAGAGCCCATAATAAACCCATCATTATATGGCCCATTAATCTTTGACAAAGGAGGTAAGAATATACAATGGAAAAAAGACAGTCTCTTCAACAAATGGTGTTGGGAAAATTGGTCAGCTACATGCAAAACAATGCAATTGGACCACTTTCTTAAACCATACACAAAAATAAACTCAAAATGGATTAAAGACCTAAATGTGAGACCTGAAACCATAAAAATCCCAGGAGAGAGCACAGGCAGTAATTTCGTTGACATCAGCTATAGCAACTTTTTCATAGATATGACTCCTGAGGCAAGGGGGTGGGGAATCAAAAATAAACTATTGGGACTTCATCAAAATAAAAATCTTCTGCACAGCAAAGGAAACAATCAACAAAATTAAACAGCCTACTGAATGGGAGAAGATATTTTTAAATGACATAGCTGATTAAGGGTTAGTATCCAAAACATATAGAGAATCTACACAACTCAACAGACACACAAAAAACCCAAACAATCCAATTAAAAAATGGGCAGAAGACATCCAGATGGCCAACAGACACATGAAAAGATGCACAACATCACTCATCATCAGGGAAATGCAAATCAAAACCACAGTGAGATATCACCTCCCACCTGTCACAACGGCTCAAATCAAAAACACAAGAAACAAGTGTTGGTGAGGATGCAGAACCAAAGGAAACCTCATGCTCTGTTGGTGGGAATGCAAACTGTGCAGCCACTGTGGACAACAATATGGAAGTTCCTCAAGAAATTAAAAATAGAATTACCCTATGATCCAGTAATCCCACTACTGGGTATTTACTCAAAGAATATAAAAACACTAATCTGCAAAGATATATGCACCCCTATGTTTATAGCAGCATTATCTACAATAACCAAAGTATGGAGCCAGCCTAAGTGTCCACTGACTAATGAATGGATACACACACACACACACACACACACACACACACACACACACACACGTAATATTATTCAGCTATAAAAAAAGGATGAAACCTTGCCTTTTGCACCAACATGGATGGATCTAGAGAGTATAATGCTAAGTGAAATAAGTCAGCCAGAACAAGATAAATATATGATTTCACTCATATGTGGAATATAAGAAACAAAACAAACAAACAAAGAAAACAGGAGACAAATCAACAAACAGGATCTTACCTACAGCAAACAAACAGATGGTTCCCAGAGGGGTGGGGGAGCAGGGGATGGGTGAAGTAGGTGATGGGGATTAAGAATATACTTCTTGTGATGAGCACCGAGTGATATATGGAATTATCGAATGACTATATTGTACACCTTAAACCAATATAATACTGTATTTAATTATACTGGAATTAAAAAAAAACCTTTTTATCATTACAGAGTGTTCCACTTTATCTGACATTAAGATAGCTGTACCATCTTTTATTAGTGTTTTTATAGTATATATTCCCCCATTTTTTTTCTTTCATGCTTTCAGTATGCTTATCTTTTAAAAATGTGTCTCATAAGCAGCCAAAGAGGTTTTTTTTTAACTGAAGAATAGCTGACACAAAATATTAGTCTCAGGTGTACAACTTAAGTGATTTGACAGATTTACACATTATACTATGTTCACCCCAAGTATAGCTACCATCTGTCACCATACAATGCTGTTACAATACCACTGACTATATTCCCTATGCTATACCTTTCATCCCTGTGATTAGTCATTCCATAACTGAAAGCTTATACTTCTCACCCCCCTTCATCCATTTGGCCCATCTCCCACCCCAAAAAGCATCTTTTGAAATCCAGTCTGTTCCTGTCTCTTTTAATGAGAGCATTTAGTCCATTTATATTTAATGCAAATATTGATATACTCTCCCATCTGGGTGTTTGCTTTCTATTCATCCTATCTGTTCTATTATTTTCTCTTTTGTTGGCTTCTTTCGCAGGTTAATATTTTTAAATCATTTCATCTTCCCTGTGTTACTTTTGTGGTTACACCTTCTTTTACTATTCCTTCACTGGTTACCCTGGCGATTACAATACAAATTTTTATCAAGTGTGTGTTTTAATTATCAACTTATTGCCTCTCAGCTCCAAATCTCCTCTTCGTTGCCTGCAGTGCGAGAATAAATATTTCCCCCTGGCTGCCTAGTTCAGAGTTAAGCTTTGTTTGAGGAGGGCACTGGAGGGGGGGGCACTAATGAAGGCAGTGGTTTCCGTTCTGGCTCTTACATCTCAGTTGCTCTACTGTGGAGCTCCCAAAGTGTGAGATGAATAGCAGCATGGCAGCTTCCTGGACACTCTCTACCGTGGCTTTATGGTAGGTCTGTGCAGTCTGCAAGCCACCTCCCCATGAACAGCTTTCCCGGCACCCCTTGAGTGTGAGTGATTTTCAAGGCATTCGGGTTTTTGGCTTTTGGAATGGGCAGATGCCTATCCACGGCAGGAGGAAAATCAGCCCCCAATGCCAAGATTATTTCCGTGAGTTTCCTCTGTCTCCGGATTTTGATAGCAGTGCAGGTGGTATGAAGTGGATAGGCTCCGGGTATATTTTGAAGGCGGAGGTAACAGGATTTGCTGCTGCAGCGGATGTCAGAGCAAGGCACAAAGGATGGTTTCACAGTTTTTGGTTTGAGTCATGGAAATGAGATACGAGAGAGGGAAAGAGGGCAGGTGATGTGGGGTAGAGAACAAGAAAGAAGAGGGTGATGTGGACACAGGTAGAAAAGAGCCATCTAAGAGGAGTAAGGAACAAAGTGAGGGCACACAGGTCGATGCCCTGGCGGTCCTGGTGATATGAAAGAATTGTTGGAGAGAGGGAATCAGAAGGATGTCACCGGAAAGTCAGCATGAAAGTAAAGATGGGCTTAATGGCGAGAAAATTAGTCCACATTTTAAAATGATCTTTTCTTTGCTCATCATATACATTTTAACATACATGTGATCGATATATATTACATTTATTTTTCAGTAATGATTGAATAGTTTACCACACAGTGTAAATCACAAAATACAATTCCTGAATTACATGCATAATGTGTGAAGTGAACCAGAAAAATGAAACATCATTGGTATTAATTGTCATGAGAAATAGATCAACCTTTCCATTACGAAGTGTGAATTCAGATATTTAAGGAGGTAAATTCACCACTGGATTCTTGTATCTTCAGAATTAAAGAGGTAGTATGTACAGTCAGAAAATCAACATTGAAGTTCAGTCGATGAGAGGTGTGTGTGTGCGTGTGTGCGTGTGTTGTACTAGCAACATCAACACGTAAAATAGCAACCTTGTTAACAATCACATTTCCTAGGGATACATGTGCATGGCTGTGCCTTAATCGTGCAAATATCACCCAAAATTACAGACAGTAGCAGAAAATAGATAAATTAGTTGCCTATCTCAACCACTGAAACGATGTTTTTGTACGGTCAGAAGAGGATTTCCCAACTTTTTCAAGGTACGGATGCTTGTTGTTGACTTTTCTATTGATTTTGAAAGATTTTTGTCTACAAAACTCATTACTAGCTAGTGTTCA